CGTCAACTGGATGGGATCTAGAATGGCCTAGCAAACAAGCCTCTGTGAGTACCTGTGGGGGTCATCTTAATTGGATTAACTGAGACAGGAAACCCTATCTTAAATGTGTATGGTGCCGTTCCATGCACTCAGGTCCCAGACTGAATAAAAAGAAGGAAGCGAGCTGAGCCCCAGAACTCACCTCTCTTCCTGACTGACTGTCTCACCCTCCTGCACTCTGACCTCCCTGCCACGAACTGTGCACCAAAATAGACCCTCCCTTCCTTACGTTTCTTTGATGGGGTATTTTGTCACAGCAGTGAGAAAAGTAACTAAAATAGCATCTCTATTCACAATTGCCAACACTCAGAAGGAAGTCAAGATTGTCCTCCAGTAGAGGGATGGAGAAAGTGTGCTACATCCAGACAATGGAATATTGTTTGTGCTCAACAGTAATGTGCATCAACCCATGGAAAGCCATGGAGGGTCCTTCAAAGCATGCTGCTGAGTGAAAGACTGTCTGAAAGGCTCCTGCTGGGACATTCTGGAAAAGACAAAAGGGTAGAGACAGTGGGCATATCTATCAGTGGCTGCCAAGAGGAAGAGAGAGGGGGAGGGATGAACAGGCAGAACACAGAGGATCATTTGGGCAGTGAAATTATCCTGCGTGGCATTATAATGGAGGACACTTACCATTATACATTTGTGAACACCCACAGAATGTAAAATGCCAATATGGAAGCCAAGTGTAAATCATGATAATGACATGTCAGTGTCCACTGCTGTAGAAATGTGCCAATCTAGTGTGGGATGTTGACGGTGGAGGGGTGGGGGCATATGGGAAACGCATGTGTCTTCCATTGGCTTCTGCTGTGAAACTAAATCTATCTAAAAAAAAAAATCACAGATTAATTTTTTTATTTCTCTGACTTGTATGTTTATTCCTGCATTGTGTGTGTATGTGTGTGTGTGTGTGTGTGTGTGCACGCACACACGTGTGCGCACGTGTATGCTTATAAAAACCAGAGGCCAATGTCAGGTGTCCTCCTCTATCATTCTCTACCTTAGTTTTTGAGTCAGGGTCTCTCACTGTATATGGAGTTAGGCAATTTGGTAAGATGAGCAGGCAAGCAAGTTCTGGTGGGTCCTCCTATTTCTGCCTCCATAGTGCTAGAGTTACCATGCCTGGACTTTTCTTAAAATGTGAATGCTGGGTATTTGAACTCAGGTCCTCAGGCCTGTGCAGCAAGCCCTTCACCTACTAAGCCACCCTTCCAGTCTTATTTCTGTATTAAATAATAACAAAATAGAGTCATCCTTGAGACAGTGTCTCTCACTGAATCCAAGTTCACTATTTCAGCTAGACTGACTAGCCAGAGGCCCCCAGGATCCCCCCCCCCCCCGTCTCTATCCCACCATGCACTGGGGTTACAGGTGTGCACCAGCATACCTGGCTTGTTACATGGATGCTAGGGATCCAAATTCATGTCCTCATGCTTGCACAGCAAAGGGTTTAGCCACACTGAGCCCTCTCTCCAGCCCGTATTTGTGTAAGATTTAATTAAAGTCATTGTTTCGTCAAATATCTTCTACCCTGTGTTTATTCCAAACTCACTGCCACTGGACATGGTATCTCTCACCTGCAATCTCAGCCCTTGGTAGGGTGAAGCAGCAAGATCTTGCATTTGAGACCACCCTGAAGCTACACAGCAAGTTCCAGGCCAACCTGGACAATGTGGCAAGACCTGGCAAGACCTTGAAAGCACTGAATATACACCTTCCTGTCTTGCATGCACTTGAGAGGTAGAACTAAGAGGATCAGAAACTCAAAGTCACCCTTGGCTACATATCAAGTTCGAGGCCAACCTGAGATATGTATATGTGAGATACAAAATGAACATCACTCTTTCCACTCTGCGGGAGCTGTCCTGGGTCCTGGAGGCACTAGGTCCCTCCTAGCTCCATCTCCAGCCAGCTAATTCACTCTCCCGTTCACTCAGTCCCAACCAAGCTGCCTTCTTCCAGCATAGGAGCTGCTGAGGAGCCTTCTTCCAGCATAGGAGCTGCTGAGGAGCTCACCCGCGGGGCTCTTCTCGCCTTCCAGGCACTAGAACACCTTCCTACTCACTCCTCCTCTTACTCCTGAGCGTTCAAGCCTCAGATCCAAGGTTACCTCGCCCTAGCTAGTCTCTTCTGAAAGCAGCTGTCTGGTCACTCTGCTCTCTTCTTTATAATATGTTTAACTAATTTATTTATTGCGGGTTGGGGTTCAGGCCACAGCTTATGTGTGGCGGCCAGAGGACAACTTGCACAAATTGGTACTCCTCTGCCACGTGGGTTCCAGGGAGTGAACTCAGACCCACAGACCCTCAGGCTTAGCAGCTAGTGCCTTTACCCACTGAGCCATCTCATTGGTCCCTTTAATTCCTTTATATGCAGCACTTAGCACAGTTGGAAGGTGAATGGGGCAAGCTGGGCTCAGGTGCAGGTGTACATGGGAGGGAACAGAAGGCAATGGAAAATAGAACAGTAGCTGTTAATGTTGCTTCAGGATTTGTGTTTCACTTACACAACAACCATACTGTGTGGACACTAGTGTTGCCCTCACTTTCCCCTCAAAGCTCAGGAGCTGGGAGGGCATTGCCAGAGCTCACTGGAGTCCATATTTAGGTTTGGGTTTGGAGCTGGTTGGTTTTGGTTTTGTTTATATATATATATATATATATATATAGTCTGATGTAGCCCAGGCTGGCCTCAAATTTGCTGCTTAGGTGGGGTTGGCCTTGATCTCCTGATTGTTCTACCCCTAGCTTCCAGGTACTGGGGGTTGCAGGCTCGGTGAAGCTTATATCTGAATTTCCAGATTGGGGCTCCAGAGGCCCTATGTCCTCAGCAGACGGGAACTGAGAGGAAGTACTCTCTGTCTCTCATGTATGCTGACACCTTGTTCTCTTGGAGAGCATCTGGACATTGATCCAGGAACACAGAACTCTCTGGAACTCCAAAAGGGAGTGATGCCACCTCAGAGTGCCCACAATCAACACTCCCCTTGCAAGAGCTGGAGTCTGAGTCTTCGCTCTCTGCCTTTACACTCCAGCTCCTTCTCACAGCCCTGAGCATTGAGAAAGGCAGTCTAAAGGACCACCTTCCACTAGGTGTCTAGAGAATCCCAAGCTCCTCTGTCCATAGGAGCCTCGATCTTGTGTAATGTTACTCAGATCCACTCTCCCCAACTCCACAAGCTCAACACACAGGGACCAATTAAGGCCCCCTCCCCTCCCCTGATCACCTTACATTTAGAAGGTGTCTGGTTCCCAGGCAAGGCAGGCTGGCAGGTCATGCCCATGCAGAGCCAAGCCCAGTACCAGCAACTTGTCCCTGACTTCTCCCTTTGTGTAGGGAACTCCTGGTCCTCCCAACTGCCCAGGGGTTGTCCCCAAAGCTCTTCAGACAGAAAAGGCCAACACTGCATGCCTGAGAGAGCCACAGCTGTGGTGAAGAGGTACTGGCTGTGACATTTTGGGTGCTAGACAGATGGAAGCAGAGCCCCTGCCCTGGAGCCCCTCATCCCATGGCCCCAGGCTCTGGCCAGGGTGAGGAGGGGTAGAGCGAAGGGTGTTCCCATTCCTCTCCCTGCTCCTTCTCCCCACTGAGCTGGGCTCTCTAAGTTACTTCACTGTTGTTGTGACAAAACACCATGACCAGGGCAACTTGTAGAAGAGAGAGTTTATTGGGGGCTTGCTTATAGTTTCAGAAGGTTAGAGCCTGTGACCAGCAGGGCAACAGGCAGACAAGCATGTTGAAGGATTTTTTTAAATTCAATTTCAGAGGTTTTTGTCTACGGTTGCTTGACCCTCTGTGCTTGGCAGAGCGCCATGGCAGCAGACAGCTGCAGGGAAGGGCAGCTGCTCATAGTCAGCAGACAGGAAGCAGAGAGAGCGAAGACAAGAAGGGACTAAGGAAGCGGTGACCCCCAAGGACACACACACACACACACACACACACACACACACACACACACACACACACCCGTGATAGAATTCTGCTGGCTTGGCTCCACCTCCTACCTTTCCTCACTTCCCAATGATGTCATCGTATTTTGACATTAAGGGCTTAACCCATTGATTAGGTCAGAGCCCTCACAATCCAATCATCCCTGTCAAAGACACCCAGAGGTGTGCTTCACTATTGCCTAGAGGCTTCTTAATCCAATCAAGGTGACAATCAGAATTAACATCACAGCAAGATTCTGGAGGGTGGGAGCCTAGATGAGGGTCTCAGCCTGGCCAAATGCAGCCCAGGGTCTCTTCCTGGCTGGCAAACAGCTGCTTCCTTTCTGTATACTCACACAGCCTTTCCATGCGCATTCACAAGGAACTAGGGCAGGGACAGGGAGAGGAGGAGTGAGGCCTCTGGGGTCTCTTCTTACAAGGGTACTAATCCTGTCATGAAGGCCTCAGCCTCATGACCTCAGCTAACCCTTAATTACCTCCCAAAGGTCCTGTCCTAAATACCACTCCATTGCAGTCTGGGACGTCAACCCAGGGCATGCATGCACGTGTGTGTGTGTGTGTGTGTGTGTGTGTGTGTGTGTGTGTGTGTCCTTTGTGTCCTTATGCAAGGGAAGCTGTTTCTCTCAACTTCACTACCGTGGTCCAGACTGTTCCCTGAAGTACTGTCCTCCCTCATGCTCTCCTGTCCCTTTTCCTTGCCCCAGCACACTGCCCACCCTTACCCAGCCTCCTACTCCGGTACAGATCCTTCCATGCTATGTGAGCAATACGTGCCCTCTGGCCCAGCGCTCCTGGCTCACCTGCCACCATTTGCTGAGCCTCTGCCCTCTGTCCCACACTTTCTTCAATGGAAGTAGCAGGAAGCGCACCCTGGGTCTGACCCGTGTGTCTGCTGGGAATGTAGCTCCTCATCTCTGTCTAAATGACATTAGGGGTCTCTCCTGCATGTTCATTTCTTGCTAGCCCAGATGCCTTCCCCCTGCTGCCAGGGGAAGCATGGCTCACGCCCCTGTGCTTACAAGTCACTGGGGGAGGGTGCTCCTTTGCCCGTCCCCTCCCTCTGACGCATGTGTTGAGGGTAGAGGTCAAAGCCTCAGGTATCAGATTGCCAGGCTGATTCCTTAATCACTTCTCCATTTTATTTTCTGAGGCAGGGTCTCTTACTGAACCTGGAGCTCACTGTTTCAGCGAGACTGCCCAGGGAGTCCCAGACATCCTCCTGCCTCCGCACCTCCTCCCAGGACTGGGGGTTGCAGATACACACCACCACCACCACCACGCTCAGCTTTTATCTGGATGCTGAAGTTCCAAACTCGGGTCCTCATGCTTCTATGGCAAGCACTGTACCTTACCCATGGAACCATCCCTCCAGCCCCGCTCCCTCTGTTTTAATAGAGCCATAAGCCACGGGCCCAGCAGCGAGAGAGGCGTGCTGGCCTCCTGTTCGGCTGTCAGTTCTCCAGTGGGGCTTATCTGTCCCTTCACACCATGTTCACTTGTCAAAGGAGCCGGGGGCTGCGTGTGACAGCCAGGTTAAATAAATACTGCCTGCTTCCACTCCCCCAATTCCTGTCCTGTTGCCGAGGATAGTGTCTTCCCAGCCTCCACGGGTACTGGAGTATTGTCACCTGTCCTTATTTGATTAGTGTCGCACTCAAAAATGCCCGAGGCCATCTCTGCACAGTGAGAGCATGGGGATGGATGTGCCTCCCTCTTCCTTTGCTGCCTAACGGCTACTCCCTGGAAATGTGGAGAGGCAGGACAGTGGGAGGAGAGAGGAGGAGAGGGGCAGGGTAAGTCCAGGAGGTCAAAGAGAGGTACTAAACAGGCCAGGGGCTCAAAAGCTCCAAGCCTGGGGCCCCGACACGTCTGCCCTCCCCCATCCACTGTGGCCTCTCCGAGCTTCTGTGGTGGAGGATGTGGCAGGGGCTTTGTGGTTTCCCTCATTAAGGAGAACTGGCATCCTGATCCCAGTGATGCTGGTAAGATGGTCCTAGGCTGTGACACCCCACCTTAGGGGTCACCGGGGTGTCATTTATGCATAGACAGCACAGCAAGCCCAAGCGCGATGGTGTGCATAGAAGACACTGAGAGGGTGTGGCTCTTTCCACTGATGACCTGACTGAAAGAACGGTGTGGAATGTGCACAAGGGCACAAGTTCAATTCCCCGCAGAGCCCACATTTTAAAAGTCAGTCATGGTGGTAAATGTCTCCAATCCCAGTTCTGGGAAGATGGAGACAGATGGATTCCTGAGGCTCACTGGTCAGCCAGCCCTCACTGAATTTGGTGGACTCAAGGCCAATGAGGGACCCTGTCTCAAGAAACGAGGAAGATGGCAGCTGAGGAGCAATAGTCAGGTGGTCTTCACGTGCACATGTACGCACACACACCTCCATACACACGTGCATCTGCAGACACACAGACACGTAAAAGCAATGCTGTCAGGGGTGGGACATGGCCCTGTTGTAGAGGAGCATTTGCCCACCATTCATGAGGCTTTGGGCTCCATCCCCACTATTGGGGGAGGGGGTGGCAGGGGGAGACACAAGAAAATAAGAATTAGTTACAAATCCACTACATCAGAATAAAAAGGCGGATCCGGCCCCCTTGAACAGGTGTTTTGTATTTGTCTTCACTGCTGGGTGAGGGTGAACCGTGCCAGCTGATGTTAGACATGGTCCCCGGTGAGCAACAGCGACAGCATGCACAGCCTCACGTTCACTGACAATAGGCAGACACCAGCACCCAGATGCCAGAGCACGCTCACGCTACCTTGCTTCCTCCCTCCCTTCCGGCGTCCCCCGGGAATCCATTCAAATCTACCCAGCAGAACGGGAGGAGAGGAGGGTAAACCCGCATCCAGCCATAATTCTCTCCCTCTCCTTGTGAAAACAAAAGGAACAACCCAAAGCCTCATCCAATATTCATCGGGAAGCATCCTGACATGATCCTGGGAAAATAAGTCTTGTCTGAGCCTACAATTCCAGAACACTCTCTCCAGAGCCTGGGAGCAGCCAGGACCGGCCAGGAATAGGGGATGGGGCTTGCCGAGGCACTTTGTAGAAAAGCTTAATTATGATTCACAAAACCGCAGCGTGGAGATGGTTTACAGCCACTTAATTAGTGGAGGAATATACAGCCATGATTATCCTGAAACACGGCCTAATTAACCTATGGAAAAACCAGGGCCACCACTCCGCAGTGCTGGAGATGGTAGTAGCCTCTTAATGCACCCCATCTACTCTGGGGCACAACTTTGTGTGGGGACACAGGTCTGGGGACAAACTGGGAGGAACGGGGCTGGCCCTGGAGAGTGACCGTGCTTAAACAGAAACTATTAACAAGTAGACAAAGAGAGGAAACTCAGATTGATAGTCACTGAGTACTACCACAGGCCAAGTGGTATTCTGCTCCATTTCCCATGTAAATTTCAAGATAATCCTATAGCGTGGATATTGACATTCAGAGAGGTTCATCAATAGACATAATGTCACACAGCCAGGAAACAGTTAAAGACCCTGCTTTTCCTGTTATTCCACACTGTCTTTCTCAGGCCCAACAAAGCTAAGGGAACCCACTCAACCCGGAAGAGGGTCTTTTGACTCCAAGGAGCCACCACCCACTCTGAGGTACGGGAAAACTGGAGTCATTCAAGCTTCCTAGAGCAGGCTCAAGCTGAGGAGGGCTTTGTGGATGAGTGGGCATTCACAAGGGCCACAGTGGGAGTGAGGTCCGGTAAGGGGCAGTGTGCAGAGGTACTTTGCACAGCCTTTAAACAAAAACCCAAGCCACCGCCTCAGCCTTCGTTCTGAGCGCAGATCTTGGCCCCAAACCAGAGAAAACACATCTGAGAAGCCATATGGGCCGGTCCTCAGGGACAGGCTGGTGCCACCACGGACGAAAGCTTGGAGTCCTCCAGGGGGCGCCCGAGAGCCAGCCGTGCGCTCCAGTTTATCTGGCCAGCAGGTCGAGGAATATTCCAACAACGTCCTCATTCTTCGCTGATCAAAGGAGCCGGGATTGAACCTGCTGTAATCATCCGCTGGGGAGTTTGCTTAAAATTCCCCTAATTACGGGAGAGCAGAAAATTGCTATGCCTCAGACTGAATAGAGAAATCGAAGGCGCCCTGCTCCAGCTGCCAGTCTGGGAACTGAGAGGCAGGCGAGGGGGCCCGGCTTCAAACTGCAAGGAGAGGAGAGAGAACCAGGTTCCTGGCCTGTGCCAGGAGCGGGAGAGGAAGGCAAGGAGCCACTGCGGTGGGAATGTGGTGACTGGCTCAGGTGTGGCACCCACTATCCTGGGGGGAGAAGGAGGGAGGGAGAGAGGGAGGGAGGGAGAGAGAGAGAGAGAGAGAGAGAGAGAGAGAGAGAGAGAGAGAGAGAGAGAGAGAGAGAGAGAGAGAGAGAACAGAGCGCACGAGCCAAGATGATGATGGGTGGCCGCACATATTTCTGACCATTTCAAGAGTGCAGCAGCTCTGGGCTGTCCCATCCGCCTGGAGAATGATGGTCAAGAGGTGCTGCGGAAGGTCAGGGAGCGAGCTAATATTGCACGGTCGGATCCTCTGAGCAACCCCTCCGGGCTCAGCCCCGTCCAGGCATGTGGAAGGATCTAGAAGTAAAGAGGGAGGCCAAGATGCCGGGTCTCGGGAGGTCTGCATCTGAACAGGGCAGTAGATAAGCATGGCAAACAAGGGTGAGACTCAAAGACCCCACCCACACCAGTGCCCTGCGCTCACCCTGGTCCTGAGCTATGTCAAGGGAGTCCCAGTATTGGGAACCAGGTTGAATCAGAAGGGAGCTTGCCGAGCATGAGGGAGGGTGGAGAAGAAAGAATGGGAAATGAAGAGGGCACCGTAGGGAGGAAGTCTGATGCTCCCAACGGGAGTATGGATGAGCATTATGGGTAACTGAAGCTACTTGTCTACAGTCAGATAGCTCATCGGAGGCCAAGCTGGGGCTCAAACTCGGGTTTTAGACTCACGGTGGGGTGTAGTTCACAACTGGGCCGGATAGAGGGGTACCGGCTGGGCAGCTGGCCGGAGGTGGGAACTAGAAGACAGCTAAGCCCTCAGGCTGAAGGATCCCACTACCGGAGTAGTTGGTTTCCTGGTGTATTCATTGATGCTGACTGTAAGGGTGTGGACTATTTTAGGGGCCTCTCCCGCCCCACTCCTGAGCTCCTGGGAGCCTCCAGATGGGGTCCTCCACCTCGGGCTGCCCTATGGAGGAGAACTGAATGTACTATACCTTGTTTCTCCCCTCATCTTTCAAGGGACATTTCAGTTGCTCATGCAAATCCCTGGCAAGTGCCAGTGTCGTCCTCTTGGGACCCTAACTGTCCTCTCCTGTTGTCCTGGTCACACTGTTGAGACTCTGAAGTGAGGAAACAGAGACCCACTCTATCACTTAAGAAAAAAAGAGGGGGGGATTTTCTTTTTAAAAGCGATGTCTCCTGGCTCCTAGGGGAGGAGGGAGGGCTGCCATCCTGCTCACTGGGTGTCCATTCTCCTGCTCCGTGAAGCCAGCTTCGTTTCATCTACTGGACGATCACAAAAGTCCATGTGGCCATGTGTGTGTGTGACCTAAGATTGGATCCCGGCCAGCCTCGGCTCAACTGCCCAGCTAGTCTAATCAACCTCAGTGGAAAAGTTGAGTCTCATTGAACAAATGGCTGCCATGTGCCTGACACTGTCTGTGAACAAGCCAGTTGAGAAGCCAAGGAAAGTCACATGATCATTCCACCAACATCCACCAACAGCAGTGAAGACACATGGGGCGTCGGGACAAGGCCTTGCGGTGGACATGGGTGTGTCACTTGTCAACAGTGTTTGTGAGGTGGTGAGGCCTGGGCCTGCACCCGAGTGGCACGTTTTGTTCCTCGGTGGGTTGGACACCACAGGGCAGGTGGCCAGTTGTGGCTGAGGCCCACCTTCAAACAGAAAGCTAGAACTAATGGTCAGGGCTTCTACCTGGCTGCAACCCTGGTCGCAACCTTGACTGAGCCCTGCCAGGTGACAGGCAGGCAGGTCTAGGAATCTGGTCTTGGCAGCCTCCTGGCTCCAGGGCGGTTGTGTGAGGCGGGGAACTCATACTTGGGGAGCGTGAAAATTTGCATGCTGTTTGTATTGCAGTAATTACCACCCTTTTGTTCTCCCTCGGTATTTATGGAAACTCTCTGTGGAGATGCCACAGCTCTCAGTGCAGAGAGGAAGCGGCAAAGTAGTTTCTGTCTCTCTCTGGGCTCAAGGTGGAAGACCCAAGCCCCACAGCCCAGGGGTGAAGGCAGCAAGAATGAGGCAAGAAGTTCGGAAGGATCTAGATTACAGATGTGGAGATACACCCCAGGGCCTGTCTTTAAGTTACCCCCCCCACACACACACACCCTGGCTCAGGGTTCCACTGGACAAAATCTGTCACCCTGAACCCATGTGGCCCATTCTTGTGACCTCCCCCATTGGAGCAGCCAAAGCCGTTGGCATCAGGCCAAGCTTTCTGTGACCTCCTGAAGAAGCCAGATGCTCTTAGGTACAGAGGACAGGAGTAGAATCCATGGGAGGCCCACAGATTTGGCCACAGGAGCTGCCCAGGGAAAGGGTCTCGCCCTAAGTTCAGGTTGTCAAAAGGTAGATGCCTTAGACAATGTATCTCCTGGTCCTAGTCTGTCTCCAAGTTTATCATTCCCAACCCTAACTTGTCACTGGGCCCTCTCTTAAAGATGAAGTCTCAGAGCCAAGCCAGCAGGGACTCAGCTGCTTATGGGCTCAAGGCCCTCCTCTGCAGAGAACACATTAGCCAAAAGGCTCTGAACCTGAGACAAGAGGTACCACAGAGGTATGGGGGGAGGGGGGGTCTGATAGAAAGAACCTAGGACTGAGTCACGGGGTCCTTAACTTTCTGGTATTAATTTATTGTTAAGCCAGTTGTTACCCTCACATCCCGGAAAGGTCTTGTCCTATCCCCGACAGTGGCAATTCTTGGCCAGATGGAGCTGCCCTGGGTGGCTGAGCAGCTTGGAGGAGCGAGGTGTCTGCAGACAGAGAACCAGCAATGACACGGGACATTAGGTGCTGATGGCTTTGTGGAGCAGGAGACTTGCAATTAAAGACACAATGGGCCCCCCTGGGGGCTGTCAGACAAGATTCAGAACAAGGGTCAAGGAGCTGGCGGGGGTGGGGGGCTGTGACTAAGCAGCTGCGGAGCCCACAGCGGGGAGCAGGGTAGGTGTTCTAATACAGCAACCTCTGTTCTCTCAGCAAGTCGGTCACTACAGCCCCTGCTGTCCATCCAGGCTAAGCATGTTCACTGTAGGTCAGAGGTGGTTGCCTGGGTCTTGCTAATGAGACGAGGAAATGGCATTGGTGGTTAAGTAACTTGACTGAACCTACAAGTCAGTGGAGACAAAAGTTAGGCCCTGTTCCTCTGGGTGCCCGGTCAGGACTCATGGCTACCTACCTACTGTGTGCCTTCCTCTGAGGTAGCCTCAGTTGGGTTCTCTGTGTTCCCAGGGCTCCAGGCTGGACCCACCCAGCTTGGGCTACAAGATTCAAGTGGGAATACCTGAAGGACCAAGAGCTCACTTGGACTCCATGTCAGCTCCCTCCAGGACATCACTTCTCCTTGGTGAGGAGAGGTCAGGAAGAGACACCTGGCCGACACATGAGTGTTTCCCGGAGGAGGGGAAAGGCCCAGGAAGGTAAGAGGTGAGGAGGGGTACATGCCACCCCACATCTGTTTCTGAGAGCCCCATCTTGTTCAAAGTCCCCACTTTGGGGACTTCCCCAGTTCGCTCTCTGCAAGCTTTGTCAGCATCATTAACTTGCCCTTGTCTACCCAAGCCGCTACTTCTGGCCTCCCTCCCAGCCTTGCCGTATCTCCCCACTGTGCCCCAAAGGTTAGTAGACCTTGGCCATGATCAACCAACACTGGTATGATGCCTCACAATCATCTTTAACTCCAATTCCAAGGAACCCAATGCCTTCTTCAGACCTCCACAGGCACCAGACATGCATGTGATACACACACACACACACACACACACACACACACACACCACACACACACACACTTACAGGCAAAGCACTCATATACATAAGACAAAATAAATAAAACTCAAATATATATATATATATATATATATATATATATATATATATATATATATATATATTTTAAAAGAGGATGTCAGTTGAGCACCAGCACTCATATTTCTCTGCTTTTTGACATACAACATGACCAGCTGCCTTAATTTCCTGCTGCCTGTCACCCCCAACCCCAGCGGCCACGGCGGACTCTATCCCCTCAACCTGTGAGCCAGAATAAACCCACCCCCCTGAGGGGCCTTCGGCAGGTGTCTGGTCACAGTGACACGTAAAGCAACTAACACAAGCTCCATAGGTAGATGTGGGAGGAAGACTACTGAAGCAGAGTCGATGATGGAGTGGGCTAGGATTCCCATCAGAGGTCACGACGGGACACTGGAGAGCGGATGCCTACCACCTGAAGTCCAGGTTGCATTTGAGAACCAAATAGAAAAGAAGTATCCTCAGGATACTGAGTAACGCAGACAGAGAATGTAGTCCCCTCAGGAAGGGTCGGGGCAGGTGGTGGGCAGCGCTGGCTCTGAGAGACGTTGGAGTGGGTCCCTGGGTGGTTGTGCAGCAGCCGGAGCAGAGTGGTTTATTTGTTCAATACTATTTTTCATTTCAGATATTTTGCTTCCGTTTTTATAAATTGCATATTTTCTTAATATTCCACTTATTTCCTCAGGTCCACGTTTCCCTCTGCGTTCTGAGCGTGTGGAGCAGACTTACAACCACTTCAGTGTCCGGGCCTGCCAACACTGTCCATTTTCTCTCTTTTGTTCTTTCTCTGTTGACTGATTTTTCTTGTGGCAGTGAGTAATACTTTCCTGCTTCTTTACGTAACTATTCATTTTTATTAGATGACATATCTTGTAAATTTTACATTGTCAAGCTCTGGATTTTGTCATATTCCTTTAAAGAGTGATGATGTTTTTTATTTGCAAGTTGTTTTTTTTTTTTAAGTGATGGACTTCTGGCTCAAAGTTATTTGGAACACCTTTGATTTATTGTTATTGATGTTGTTGTGAGACAAGAGCTTGCTAGGTAGCCCAGGCTGGCCTCCAACTCATGATCTTCCTCCTCTACCTCCAGAGCACTGAATTACAGGTATGTGTCACCATGCTTTGGTTCTTTTTCTTTCTTTTTCTTTTCTTTCTTTTTTTTAAAGATTTACTTTTATAGAGAGGGAGGAGGAATTATGCAACTCTTGTTGGCTTGGAAACTCACATGTGGATCAGGCTAGTTTTGAACTCACAAAAATTCTCCTGCCTCTGCCTCCTGAGTGCTGGGATTAAGGAAGTGCACTGTCTCAGCCGGTTTAAGACTCGCTTGTAGGCTTTTTTGTTTATTTTATTATCTCCTATCTATGGTCAGCAAGGTTTTGTTTTAATTTTATGCCTATAGGTATTTTTACCTACATGTAAGTCTGTGCACAAGAAGAAGGTCACCAATCTCCGGGGACTGGAGTTAGAATGTTGTGAGCTGCTGGGTGAGGTGCTGGGAATCAAACCTGGGTCCTCTGGAAAAGCACCAGTGCTCTTAACTGCTGAGCCATCTCTCTAGCCCTTAACATGTTTTAAAGACTTCCATAGATCTTCAGAACTCTGTATGTGGATCTCTTCTCTCAAATATTCTTCCAAACAATTCTAGCCTCCCAAATACCCACTGTATGCTGTGCAGTTTCCTCCATGCAGTAAACTACACAACTCTACAGACCACATCACTGAGTCCCCTTCTCTTGGGGACCACCATCTAAAAGTAGCTGTTTCCTGCATCCAGCCTTCGATTGTTTTCTCCAGGTGAGTGCTTTCAACAGCAAATTAATCCAAGGGTAGGGGGCAGCCTCCCACTCAGTGCAGATTAAACAATAGCAACAAGCAGGATAAATAAGTGAACAGTATGTGAGAAGATGAAAGGAACTCTGGGAAAGTAGGTGAAAGAGAGAGAAAGATCCTGGAAGAGGGTGCATTCATCATGGTTCTCTAGAGGAATGGAACTGATAGAATGATATTACGAAGGGGCTTATTAGAGCAGCTATCAGGCTGAGGTCCGAGTCAACAATGGCTGTCCCCTGACGGAAATGCTAAGGATCTGGTAGTTAGTTGTTCAGACCATGAGACTGGATGTCTCAGCTGTCCCAGTCTGGTGCTGGAGTCCCAGGGAAGTCTTAGAGAGCTGCTGGGCTTTGGTCTGCATTGGAATCCTGAAGACATAGATACTAACACCGGAGAAGGGATGGAAGAACTTGCCAGCGAGAGTGAGGGCAAGCAGACAAAGGGCAAAAGCTTCTTCTTCCACGTCTTTTTCTGTAGGCTACTACCGGAAGGTGTGGCCCAGGTCTTCCCACCTCAAATGATCCAATCAAGAAAAGCCCTTCTAGGTGTTTCCAGCTGCGTGGGCTTTAGTCAGTTCCACACGTAGCCAAGATTAGCCATCAGAGCGGTAATTTATCTTTTAAGTTTATTTATTTATTTATTTATTTATTTATTTATTTATTTATTTATTTATTTATTTATTGAGACTAGTTCTTGCTAAGTAGTCTAGGCCGGCCTCAGATTTGTAGCAAGTGGTTAGGTGAGAACCACTGGACTCTCCTCACCTGCTGGATGTGACCTGCTGTGCTAAGGCCTTTATTTGGCTTCAGTGTTCAGCGCACACTGGGTTGGAGGAGGGCCTGAAGAGATGGCTAGGATGGGAGCACTGGCCAGGGTGACAACTGAGGAGGTAAGAAGGGGTGGGACTCTGAGTGTTGTGCCAAAAGACCAATGGGGCCAGGGCCAAGGACACCGCTGAGCTGACAGGTCTGGAAGGACAGTCACCATTGATGTGACATCCGGAGGGCTTCAGGTGGGTGGGGACATGCTGTGAACTCTGAGACCTGAGATGTCTACTATAGATCCAAGAGGAAGTTACCAAGCTAGCAGTTGATAGATCAGTGAGAGCTGTAAAGGGTGTTGTCACCACTGGTGATGCCCATATGTCCCCAGAGAGCATGTTGAATAGCCTTCTCCACAGTGGAGCCTCCACTCACCTCCACAGAGGCAGCAGGATTTGTCGAAGATGCTGGGCCTTTCAGGGTCTAATGCCTTCTCCCTCATCCCAAGAGAGTTGGTCTGAACCCTAACAGGCAGCCATGTGCTAGCCAGGCCTTATTTAAACAGACTGTGTCACCACCCTGGGACATCATTCCAGGAGCTCCAAGAAGCTTCATCAGCAACTGTCCCAGGGGCCTGTGTGGCTTGCCTATCCCCAAATCCCCTGGTTCTCGCTGGTGACCTAGATTTGCCGCGAAGGGGTAGCTCACCTGGACACTCCACAGCTGACACTCCATCAATCTCCTCTGACTCCACCTTGCCCCCTCAGGCCGGGACCCTGGGCTGTGTTTCCCAAGCCCATTTGGGGCCCAGATGCTCTCTGTCCTCACATCTCATCTACATTCCAAGGAACCTCTCCCCCACCCTCTACAGAAAGAAGGCCCCAAGGCCCTGGGATGAGAAAGTCCTGCCAGAGAGGTCCATATTGCTTTTACCTTCCGAGGTTTCGCGCTAAGGTCTCTCCAACTGGACCGGTCATTCTGTCCGTTACTCCTGTCACGGTGCTCCGTTTCTCCTTGCTTCTCTTCGTCCTTTGGCCTCTTCTCCTTCCCTGCTCTCTTGTCATGGGCCATTAATTAGCTCTGGAGAGTCGGGACGAAACTCAGGCTGGCTCTCAGAGCGTCCTTACTCTTTTCCCCTGGGGGAGGCCCAGCGCGAAGTCCCTCTGCCCTCAGACATCTCCATCCCTCCCCCACCTTCAGGGCTCCTGCTTTCCTCACACTGTCCCAACCCAGCAGAAGGGACCCTGGTCCCTCCTGAAGTCTCTGGCCCTCCTGTCCCCTGCCTGTGCTCCTCAAGGGTTGGTCAGAGCAATGGCCAGGTGACCCATAGCTGTTTTTTTCTGCTGCTGCTGCTGCTGCTACTGCTGCTACTGCAGTAAAATATGGACAGCGAGAACCATGGGAGAAATGAGGCATGAAAATTAATCTGCTTTACAGTCCTCATGAATATTTAAAAGCTGATGAATATGTAACTACATTTCTTTTCTCCTCCATTAGTGTCTGCCTTTGAGTTACTCTGTACTTCTCTTGGGTTCCTTTGGGGGCTGGTTGGCTAGACTGATTTTTAATTTGGTTTTACAGGTGCTTGTGGCTCCTGGGTTCCCTCCACCCTCAATCCTGCTGACAGAGCTGTCCCTTTAAAATTCCCCAGCAAGGCCAGGCAGAGGGAGACAAGAGGGAGGAGAGGAGGGAGGTGATCCTCCTACCCCTACAATAGAGACTCAGAGCAAAGGGGAGGTGTCTGAACAAAGAAACGAAGTAGTGCTCACAACATAGAAGCTAGGCGGAATTAGCTGGGCACTGCAGTGCACATACACTCCCAGTTACTGGGGAGGAAAGAACGTGAGGACGCCTTGAACCCACGAATTCCAGGCCAGCGATAACATAGCAAATATCTGTCTCAAAAGAGAAAAAGGAAAGGGGGCACCCTTCCTGCCTCTCCCCTGAGCCTTGGTTTCCTTGAACACAGTAACAAGTTCTGACACCCAGCAAGTGAGGCTTCAGGGAAGTGTCAAAAAGCCAAGAAATTAGACAGCCAAGTGTCATCTTCCTGCTGGACACAGTGAGACATGCTTGTAAGAAGGCTGAGGCAGGAGGATCACAAGTTTGAAGCCAGTCTGGATTACCCAATGAGTTCCAGGCCAGCCAGCCTGGGCAACGCAGACCGTGTCTCAAAATAAAAATTAAAAACGAAAGAGCTGGCAAGGTAGCTCAGCATAGCATTTGCCCAGCGTAGACAAGTCTCTAGCTCTGTACCCAGTAGAAAGGGGGAGGGGAAGGGGGGAGAGGGGAAAGGTGAGAAGGAGAGGGAGGGGAAGAGACAGAGGGAGAAAGACAGAGACCCCCCCCAAGTAGAACCCCCTTTGGAACCGCTGTCTCCATCCTGGCTTACGTGTCCCTTTAGATCACATTGTTTAGATCAAACCCTGAGCAGATCCACCACCGATCGGATCAAACCTCAATTAGAAGGACACATACAGGTCCTGCTCTGGATTAGGTCAGCCTCTGATTGGGTAAGCATGAGATTAGATTAGTCAATGATGGATCACCACAGAGGACATCAGCCACTGATCGAATCAACGACCAATTAGATTAGATTGGCTTTTGGTGAGATCGACCACTGAGTAGATTAGCCACCAGTTGGGTCACCCCCTAATTGAATCACCCTCTGATTGGCGAATTGTCTGATAAGGTTATCTTGTGTATCTCCTATCCAAGGACAAAGGTCTCAGTCAGTTAGGATCTCCCCTTCTCCCCACCTCCGTGAACAGCGAGAGCTGCATACATCTCTCTAAGCTCGTTCCGCAGAATCTCCCCTGCAGGCTGGCCTTGGGGTCTCAGGGCTAGGACATTCTTAAGTTTGGGGCAAGCCTGGGCTCCAACACAGTGAGATCATGTTTGAAACAATAATGATGATGATGATGATGATGATGATGATGACGACAAACACAATAATAATAAGGGCTATCGCTACAGCCCATCTGGTCAAGGTGCTTGCTGCCAATCTTTTTTTTTCTTTTTTCTTTTAATTATCAAGATATTTTCTATTCATTTTACATACCAACCACAGATCCTCATCTCCTCCCTCCTCCTGCCCCCCAGCCTTCCCCAACAACCCACCCCAGAGCCCAGGGGACACCTTGCGCAGCCTTGGTGCAGTGGGGAGGGGCTGCCAGTCTTGATGACCTGAGTTCTATCCTCAGGACCCACATGTTGGAAGGCAAGAACTAACTCTTACAAGTTGTCCTTGGACCCCCCACATGTACTCCAGGGCATACATGCATCCGCAGTCACACACAAAATAGATAAATAAAATAACAAAAAATTAAAAGAATGATTAAAACCTTAAAACTTCAGAGAAGGAAGAATCTCAGCCACATCGAGCAGGCAGTGGGTGAGAAGGAAGAGTTTATCTCCAGAATCTAGGTGAGAGGCCTTAGAGAGGTCAAGAGTGCAGCCTGGAAGCATCGATGGGCAGAACAGCTGCCCCCGCCCCCCAGTGTGAGGAAGGAAGAAGCCAAGGAGAGAGAGGGCAGTGCCACTACCACCCTGTGGGTGTCGGGGGAGGCCATGTCCTCAGAGGGACTAGCTGTGGTCTGAGTGGGAACATTCAGCACATGAGGGGATTGGTGTGTTTCAGGAGGTGAAGCAGGACCTGGAGACCATTCCAGAATTGACCTAAAGTGAGATCAAGAGAAAAGGAGCCAGAAGACTCATGTCTACACGGAGAAAGACCAAGAGATCAGCCCGTCTCCCCTTTCCCAAGTGCTAAGATTATAGGAGTGTGCCACTAAGCCCAGCTTTTTGTGTGAGTTGAGGGGTCTGCCCTCAGGTCCTCATGCTTGTACTACGAGCATTTTAACAACCGAGTCGTCTCCTCAGTCCACGAGAGTTGTTACTTTGAAAAGCACAACCACCATCTGAGTATTAGGAATGGCCACCATTGTGACAACTGGTAAGCAAGGATTAGCACATATGTGTAACACCCCAGCGTCCCCCATACTCCCTTTTACAGGACCTGGGGAAGGACAGGTGTGCCCAAGAGGATTGCTGTCCCTTGGTGTCAGCCACTCATCTTCCATGAGAGGTTCCCCAGACAGTGATGCCCCCCCCCCAGCCCCTGGCCTCCCAGCTCAGCTTCCTAGCTGCCTCCATGGCAGGAGCAAGCACACACATCTTGTCAGACAAGCCTGCACCTCGTGGAACAGGCTGTAAGCATAATTACCCTTCCGGGGGATGTGCTGGCTTCACCCTCTTTTCAGAGATGCCTTCCTGCTTCATGTCACTGCTGTGGCAGCCACTGAGAGCTGAGTGGCTCTGAACCAGGCTAAGCAGGGCCAGGCCCCCTAGAACAGACCCCTGGCCCAGGAAAACTGGAGGAGACGGGCACTCCACAGCCCAGATAGACTCCAAGTTCTGCTCCTCTTCCCGCACATCTCACCATCTTGAGGTTCTCTCCGTGGAGCAGATGCCCCATCCTGGGCCACCTGTCCCTTGCCTCTGACTCCTCTGCCCTGACACCTAGTTGGGTCCTTGATTGCCCCCCTAGCTTCCTATGCCACTCTGTCCCCAGGGGCCAAAGAGGTAGCGCCCAAGTCTCAGATTCGGCACAGGCAGCAGCCTGGGCATGAGGTGGTACTCAGAAATGCATAGAGGCCATTAGCTGGGTCCCTTCCCTGAGGGTAGATGCAGAGCAAGACGCTTGCTACACCTCTTCTCTCAGGAAAACCCTCCCAAATATCCCTCAGGTGAGGTGAACTTCCCTGCTTCCTCTCATCTCAACAGGCCACTGCTACCAGGGGCTCCATACCACCAGTGGATGCCACCTCTCTCTTTCCAGGGTCTTTCCCACAGAGAAACGACCATGCCTCAATCTCACTACAGAGCTCTGCCTCGTCCCCCATCTGTCTCCAGACAGTGACCACTTTGAGAGATAGGTGGGGGCAG